ATATATATATATATATATATATATATATATATATATATATAGAAAAAGTTGCAAATTAAAAAAATAATGTTTTTTTATGAAAGTATTTATTTATTTATATATATATTTGATATTTCAGATTGACCTCATAAAAAAAACATTATTATTTTTTAATTTGCAACTTTTCTACATATATATATTAAGAAAGCATACATGACTTCTCATTATGCTATATATATATTTTTTTTTAATTTTTAACATACAATGTGTGTTAAATATTTAAATATATTTATATATATATATATATATATATATATATATATATATATATATATATATTAAATATCCATCTACACTTTTTATACTATATAAAAAGTAAAAGGGCAAAACTATTCTTTGTATATTGTTTGTTTTTTATTTAGTTAACCTGTGTGTGTACAATGAAGTTTTTGGAAATCCAAAAACTTTTGACTGCTCATGCTTGATATTGAACAGTATTTTGAAATTTTTACCAATTCAAAAACACCATTCAATATCAAGCACTGGCAAAGGCTGCAGGAGCAACTGAAAATTAAAGAACTTTGTGCTCCTACATGTAAACTAAATAAAAAACATAAAAACATACAAAGAATAACTTTAGCCACCCTAATTAGTAAAGAACAAAATTTGTTATTATTATTTAGAAAATACTTAGGAATCCTGATAAATATTTTACCATCAATAAACACATGTCAAACATACTTTATTATATCACCAACTTTTCTAGAATCCTTACTTAAAGAATCTGTCTACCTACAACCACAACCAGTGTAAACTAAATTATCTTGTTCTTTTACAAAACATCATCTAATCATCATATGTACACTACCAGATATAAATAAAAATGCCTACTGGGCACTCAAACACTCATTTACACAATGTGGTTGGTTTGCTACTATGTAAATGATGGTGTGTTTTAGCTGTGAAGGTTTGCCTCTGAAGGACCAGGGAATGTAGTTTGTCTGAGCACTTTCCGTAGAAGTAGCAGTAGCGCAGCAAAAGGCTTGCCACATTCTGCCTGTAGGAGAGAGGTTGAAGGATAAAGAATAATTTGTCACCTACAATGGCTTGGAGATACTTTTGAACTCAATCAAGACTGAAGCATGTGCAGGTGCAGCCCAAATATGACAACAGTACTCCATTTTTGGCTTGATCTGTCTCTTCTAAAGATAGAGGATAGCAGGAGTCACATGCTTACTGGAGCACTACAGGGAGCCAACCATTTTACTTGCATACTTAGCAATTGATCATGTGTACAAGTTCCACTTGAAATCGGGTGTGAGTTTCAGGTCCAACAGTCTTTCAAAGCACAGTGCTTCCCCAAGAGGACCTCCATTCATCCTCATTGGTGGTAGTTCAGGGTCAGACCGACATTGATGAAATATAACTAGCTTGGTCTTTAAGGCATTGAATGTAACCAGCCAGTTTTTATCCCATTGGGTTGTTTGTGCAAGATCAGAAAAGAGATCAGTCACCAATCTCTGACCATCAAGAATTTTAGAGATGTGCCCATATATAGCTGTATCATCGGCATAGATGTTTACAAATGATCTGAGTATATTCTTAGGCAGATCATTTAGGTTGGTCCAAAGAGTGACCCCTGGAGGATGCCTGCATTGACTGCTAGGGCTCTGGAGAACTGGCGATTAATAACTACAGGGACCTACCTGTTAGGACAGATTTTATGATCGAGAAGATCCTTCCAGTGATTCCATTACTGGAGAGCTTGCATAGTAAGCCTTTGTGCTACATTTTGTCAAAGGTTCTTGAGATATCTACTTCTATGGTCCTTGAGGTGTGTTTGTCGTCGAGAGCCTCACTGATTCTGTGAGTGATGGTAATTAGGACATCAGCAGTGGAACAGGCTGACCAAAACCCTTACTGCTCATTGCTAAAGAAGTTGCTCTTTTCTAGGTGCTTCATGACCTTCTTATTGATTATAGCCTCAAAAAGATTACTGGCAATACTGATGGGTCTATACTGGGAGGGGGAAGATTGCACAACTACATTCTTGAAAATCAGGCATACACTTTACACTTTCCAAACTCTTGGGAAAGATTTCTCCTTCAAGCAACGGTTGATTAATTTTGCTAGGTTTGGGGATAATTCCAGGTTGATATTCTTAAGGAAAACCACTGGGATTTTGTCTGGACCAATGGCTTTCTTAGGGTCAAAGCTTTTGATAAGTCTACAGATTTCTCATGCTGTGATGGTAATATTACTGAGATTGTGCTCAGTGAGGTGTGGGAACTTTTGGAGGGGATGGTCTTTGTCATGTAACTTTGAGTTAGATTTAAAGAGGTTTGCCTTATCTGCTGAGGAAGATATGACCTCTGGGCCATTTATAATTGTAGGCACAGCTACTTTTCCTCTGTTCATAATTTGGTTGATGATCTTCCAGAATTCATGGGATCCAATTTGTTTCTTTTCAACCTTGTTCTGGACTGCCCGTGGGTATCTGTACTTGGCACTTTTTTACAGTGATTGCAGGCAGTTCTGAACGCAATGAAGATCAAACTACATGACTTCTTGTGATAGATATTGAAGCAGTAGTTTTGGTGAGTTATGGCTGCAGCATATTCATAGGTGAACCAATGTTGACAGTTTGGTTTTTACTGGAATTTTTGTGGGGGTATAAATCTCTTCATTCTAGAAAGGATCCAATTAGTGAGAAGGGCAGCAGTTTTGGAGGCAGCATGCTTGAAGAAGGTTGGGAGGGGAGCTCCCATCATGTATGATCAAAAGCTGTCCCAGTCTGCCTTTGCATAGCAAAAAATTGTTCTATGAAACAGTACATCAGGGGATGTACTATTTGGCATCAATTTGGACACTGGATACTGATTAGGGAATGGTCTAATGTGCCTAGTAGAAGTAAAACAAGAGGCTAGGAAAAGTTTGAGGAGGCTCACCTGATGTCCCAGGTAGATTCTCCAATGGTCTGGGTTAGTTCATAGGCAGTGGAGAAGTCTCTGCAATATCTCCCTTCAACATCAGTTTTGTTGAAGTGTACTAGCCATTCTTTATGGTGGATATTAAAGTCACCACAGATATGGGTATTATCAATCTTCTCAGATATTTGGTCAACAATTTACTGTCCCTTTATCCTGAGGATGGTAGAATGCAAAGACAAATGCGATACCATGGATAAGTGCCACACAGAAGCACATATATGGGAGATTGGGTTCCTTGTTTTTTGTGTCCCTGTCACAGGGTAACTTGTCCTTGATTTAGGCTCTGATTCCATGGCAGTAATGATTTAGATGGTCATGTTTGGCTATAAGAAGTGAATAGCCTAGGACTGTGAGCTTGAAGCGTTGATACCAGTTTCAGAAAGTAACAGGAGGTCTGGTTTAGACTTGAAGAAGGTGTTTTACTTCTGGAAAGTTGAAACATAGACCCCTCACACTGGTGTAGGAGATGATATACGAAGGGTCTACCTTGGGTTTTTTTTTTTTAGTTTGGGTTTGCTGGATTTCTCCATTTGTGTTTTGATTGATTTCATGTGTGCATTGGTTGGTGAAAGACTAGTAACTGCAGAGACACACACGCAGGAGTTGCATATATAAATAACTTAGAATTGTCCAGAGATACAGCTGTAGCAGTATCCTTCACGGCATAGACGCCTCACTGGAGACTACTTCATGGTCCAGAAACCATTCACAAAATGGCAGTATAATAACCCCTGCTGAGAGGATAGACTTCTTTGGAGTTACTCGAAGGTTTGGATTGCTAACAGTCAGGCGGATATCACGAAAACCCAGAAAATGTCTACTTCCTGCACTCTTAATAAAGGGACAATCAACTCAGGAAAGAAAATGCATGCATGATGCTCCAAATGGACATGTTGCATCTGCCCAGAAGTCAAGGTAACAGAACTCCTCCTTGGGTCAGAAACATTGTACCAGTCTGAGACCTAAAGGCACTGGGACTAGCTCACACATGTACTTGAGGACTGAAAGACCCATTGGGAGAAGGTTGGGTAACGAGGGTTGCTCATTGATGCATGTGCATTGCCTATCCCCATTTGAGTTAGTATAGTAGATGGTTACAAGGGCTTGCAAATAGGCAAGTTATCTATTCAAGAAAAAAGAAAAAAATTCAGGCTTACAAAGGAAAAGTACTATGGATTGGAGGGTGGGTTATGGACAGGGAGTGTGAAACAGTTATAGAGTTTTAACGTTTTAACTTATAAATTCCAATATCCACTTTTTGGGAAAGTGGATAGATTCTACTGTCCAGTAAACAATGCTAGAATAACTTCCATTAAATGTATGGGCCTCAAGAATTAACAATAAATTATGCAGACATTAGCATGTGCACACACACACACACACTTCTCTCTCTCTCTCTCTCTCTCTCTCTATATATATATATATATATATATATATATATATATATATATATATATATATATATGCACACACACAAACTGTGACAAATATTAACAGAAAGCTTAAAACAAAGAAAGAGAAAAATTACTAGGAAGTAAGTTAAATGCACATTGTAAGGTGAAAGGAAATAAAATTAAAAACGAAAATTCAGAAAACGTTAATGTTCTCATTTTTTATTCTTTACCAAATCAAAGAAAACTGATCTTCAGTTTCAAAACCTTAAAATCAAAACTCATTAAATTTCATAAATGTTTTGATAGGCATGTTTGCTGTTAGAGAAAAATTAAATGTAATCTATGTATTTAGTCTTTCTTTTTTTCTGCACAAAGGTTTATAAAAACAACATTGCCTCTTTTATTAAAAGTTTATATGCTGCATCAAACCTTTAATAACAGTTTTTTTTTGTAGTGGTAGTTTATAAAAGGTAATTCTTATTTTTATGTGGAGTGGGCAGCTTGAAGACAAAGAGCATTGTGAGTAAAAGAAAATTATAAAAATAACATTTATGAAACAAAAAATATTTTTATTTGTAAAAATGATTTTGCTATCTGATCATTCTCATTATTTTAATTAAATATAATTTAATTTCAGAGCTATTGAAATTTTAAGGCGTGCATCAGAATCTAATCGAATGGAACTTACTGTAACTAGAGATGAAAAAGCAAGGTAAATTTTTTTTAAAATTTTTATCAAGTAATATCCTTATTTCCTGCTCAAATCCATTCATCATATAGTATTAGTTTATTTGAAAGTGGTAATCTTGGGGAAAAAAAATTAAACCTATTTGAGTTGAGTGTTCATTTGTTTGTGTCCACATTAAAATAAAAATGCATATAACCAGCTGAACTTCAGTATAGCTGGCTGAAATCTATTAGGTGTGTATCAGAAAAGAGGAAATATAGAAATGTAAGAGATTTTAAAATAAGTCAGAGGTGACATTTGCATGTATGTGATGTTAATAGTAAATGGTAAAATTAGTAGCAGGAGCAAAAAGCAAAATATAATTTAATTTGGAAAGTATTCGTTCAATTTCAGGTTTTCTATTTAGTATTGATTTGTGTATAAATTTTATGTTTCTACAGGCTTATATAATGTTTTATTGTCTTCTGTTATAATTCTAAGAGATAAATAACAGGTTTATTTTTCTGGTCTACAGATATATACAATTTAAAGAGATAAGTCACTAGTTAGGCATATAAACAAGTGTATGTAGGAAAAGAAAGATTAGCAACTTAATTTTTTTTTGTTGTAACTTTTTATCTAAAAAATAAAGTCACATTGCTCCTGTTAAAATTGGAGAAGATAGTAAGCCCATTAAAAAAAAAATAATGTCCTTGAAAAATAATTGCTAAAAAATTAGAAAGAAAAAAGATATTTGTTATTTCTATGTTACATTTATTAAAAATATCATTATTTAAATTTTTAAAAAGTGTTTAAGTTATAGCTTATGATGAGGAAAAGATATTTACACAATTTTCAAGATTTTCAGCTGCATTTATATTGATATTTCACCTTTTTTTTCAGTCTTGAATTTGTTGAAGTCTTTGAGTCAAGTTCAAATAATTCTTTTAATAACAATGCCTACACAAATGTATCCAGGAATTCAGTTCCTTCCTCTCCAGACTCTATTGGGAAATATCCTCAGACAATAACTGCGAGAGCAAATTCATCTTCACCTTCTCCAAAACCATCCACCCCAACTGGAAATTCCATGGGATCTCCATTTCCACCTGTAGATTCTCCAAGGCCTTCACCACCTCAACAATTTGTTTCAATGGGAACTGTAGTTCCACCACCTTCTCCAAAAAGGTATTCAAAACCATCATCTCCCCTAACTACAGATGTTAGACCATCTTTCCCACTCCCATCAAATACTCGAGCAACTTCCCCACTTGCTGCTGACACTCGGGCAACATCTCAATCCACAACAGATGCTCAAAGAATGTTGCCCGTTGTTGAGGAAGTTACACGCCCAGTACCATGTCTTAAATCTCCCGATACAGCACGTGCAACATCCTCTTATGACACTCCTGCAGGGACAACAACTTCAATGTCAGCAAATCATTCTGTCAAATTTAGTATAGATATTCAGACACCATCTTCATCTACACAGCAAGTGGCTCCAGCAACAGAAGATACATCACCAATCTTACCAAAATCGCCTACTATGCAGCAGCAAGAGTTACCTGACGTTACATCAGTAGGAACCATATCACCACAGTCAACTACACCTCAAGTAAAGGCTTCCACTACTCCTCCTTTCACGGTTATAGAAGCCCTAACGACAAGGGAGGTTACTCCTCCATTTTCGGTTACTAACCAAGAAGTTATTTCACCACAAATAACCTCAACAGTAAAGACGCCACAAAAATCTCCAGACAATATTGGTAACGGTTTGTTAGGTATGTTAAATATTTAAATGAATAAATTATTTTTTAATAATTGATTATTTAATTAATACATTTTATAATAATATCAAATTAATAATTTACTTAATTATTTATTTAATTCTTAAAAAATACTTTTTTCATTTAATTTATAATTATAAAAAAATATTGATTTATTAAATTAGATGGGAATTATTCTTATTTTTTTGCTCATTTATAACAAACCATACCAAACATAAACTTTATTTCAGAATTAATTTGTTTACAAAAAGAGTCACTATCTCTTTTTCTTATATTCTCTGAGATGAAATGTTAAATTAAAATAACTTTGCCTCAATTTCATTGCCTAACATTAAATCTGAGTTATATAGATTACCTGTGAAATATTTACAGTATCTCAAATCTCACCTTTTCTGTTCTGTATTAATTACTTATATAGGGGGAAAAAATGTAAATATTTCTTTTACTAATGAAAAAAAGGCAAAATTCTAATATACCTTCCACAGTAAACATAATCTTTGTTTATATTAAAATTATGGAATGAAAAGTCCCTAACAGTGTCATAGGCTCATTATACATTTAGTGCTCAGTTTTATTATAATAAAAATATTATTTATAAAATTGAAAATAACCAATAAGGGAACCATATTACTAATCCTAATCCATGTATGTCCATTACAATATCTCTTAAAGAAACAGGTTATTTTTGTTGTTTTTTAAAATCAAAAATTTTTTTTTTATTTTTTAACTGTTTATTGTATAAAGAATTTGAAATATAGGGTTTGTAAAATTCACTAATTTTAACTTAAAATAACATATATTTAACAAGAGATTGTCATATTTTGAATTGATGAAAAGATATTGAAAAATCAATTTGCCTACATTAAATATATTATCATAGTTTGTTTCATTAGTGGATAAATCTAAGATGCCATGAATCAGCATGACAACTGCAAGATAATAAGTATTATAGGATATCATTATCAGAAATGTAGATTTTGTCAGTGTCATGTTATGGCTATTCTCATAAAGAATAGGCTATTTGGAACTTGTTTGATTTATTTTAGATGATAATTATTAAGATTTATTAAAATCCTATTCATTTATTAAAATCCTCACATTTTCATCTATGTTAGAAAACCAAAAGCTAACTGTTGTGTTATGGCTTTTATTGTTTTTTTTTTCTGTCAATATCAGTTGTAAGTTAGAATCAGGATTACCTTTTATCTTTTATTTTTACTTCATTTCTTAACATTTAAAAAAATATTGTTTTCAGATTCCAGTTGGAATTCAGATTATGATTTTCCTGATAATTACAACCAAGTCCACAAATATGATAAACCATTTACTTATGGTATAAAATCACCCAATGAGGTAAGACTGTTCATTGCTGTTTTTCTTTTAGTCACATATACTGTAATGTTACATTTTTGTTAGATCTTAAAAACATGACAAGCATATGTGTAACTAAACATTTTATGGTAAAATCTAACATGTAATATAATCCATGTGTGCTAAAATAGAACCAATCATGAAATGCCTTAAGTGAAGTCATTTCCATTTTATTCCCATATTTGTATCTGTGATCAGTAATTACTGCATTCATCTTCCTATGAGGAGTAGACTGAAGTAGTTACTACCCACAAAGTACAGACATGAGCATGCATATTCATTTGATTAAAATTAAATCAATTTACCACATATATTTTTTTTCTTGGTGACAGGAGCTAACTGGCTCAGAAAAATCTTGTTCACATATCTATATTTGTTAATGAGCGCTGATCTTTTATTTAAAAGGAATTCCTGATCAGGGAATGTTATAATTTGGAATTTGTCTTGCAATATAATCCACAAGATTCAATATTTTCCACTTGATAACAGGATTTACTCAGCCTAGTTTTCTGTTCCCATATATACTTGGACAGTATTGTGCTATTTTCACACTGTCTGCCATTGAACCATTTATGGTTAAAAAGCCTTTCTTTCCAAAGGAATTCAGTCAATAAATCATGTCGGGTTCACCATCTGCCTTTACCATTGCTTGGTATATAATTTCTCTTAGGTATTTATCACAAATGGGACAATCATTTTTGTGCCTCCTGTTCCAAGATTGGGAACAACATCATGTTTTCATTGCAGCTATAACTCCATTTAACCAAGATCCTATTAAATATATGCCCTTGGCTTGATGGTTAGATACATATAACCAGCCCAACTTCAATATAGCTGGTTAAAATTTATTAGGTGTGTGTCAGAAAAGAGGAAATATACATATGTAAGAGATTTCAAAATAAGTCAGAAGTGACATTTGCATGTATGTGGTGTTCTAATACTTTGACAGAAAACCAACAAAGCCTAGTGGTATCAGGAGTTATTGGTGATTTGTTCTGGGAGGTTAGACTTCGGAATTATGCCTGATGAACATTAGTGTTTTTTCAATAGGTGATGTGTGAACTGAGACACACACACACAATGAATTGAATCATCTTAAATTTCTTTGTCATCTATTTCTATCAATATTTTTCTTCCCCTATATAAAAGACAGTTTTAAATAGTATCCACTATTTTTTAGTGCCCTTTCATAATCCATGTATGAATGATTGAAATTGTTTATTGCTGGAGTTTACAGATAATCAATTGCATATTGATGTAGGTACCTGACTGAACACGGGGTTATTGGAGGCTGTGTCAATGTAACATAATTCATTTCCTTGCATTCTGTACAGTGATATTGTCCCTTTCAGTAGTTTAAAGGTAATGTTCAGTTAATTTACTCCTTTTAGAACAGAAGTTTGATTCTTTAAAGAAAGTCATCATATTTTTTCATATTTTGTCAACAAACCATAACAAATAGAAATCTGTCATCTTTATAAAGATCTGTGTCTTTTTTTTATCTAAAATGTTACTTAGTTTGACTAGTAAATAAATACCCAATAACTTGTGCACCTCAACACAGTCTGAATAGACAAAATCCAATAGTAATATAAAAAAATCCAGAAATCCCTTTCTTTATCAAAACCTTTTCTTTGTGCTATAATATTGATTGTGGCTATGCTTTATCATTTTTATTTGCTTGTTCAATATATCTGTGTATTTTCTTGTCATATTTAAAGCTTTGTCCTAAAAATCCTTGATATACAACTGGAGAAAAGTGCATTTATCTTGATCTGTGATAATTTTCTATCAATCTTGTAGTGCTCTTCTGTAAATTATAGTGATTGTTGCATATGTGGTCAATTATGCACCAATTTACTTTGTATGGGATTTATCAATCTACAAGAAGGCTTACTCTTAAAATTGTCTTTGTGGTACTTAAGGGTAATAAAAGGTTCATGATTTAGCCAAACACTTAACCCTATTGTTTACTTCTAATTTAATTGTTATGTATTTAGCTTTTATATTTATTTTATGCTCTACCTTCTCAAAGAGTATCTTTTTGTACTTGTTTGGTTCAATTTTATGCCTTAACAGATTTATTAGCTGAAACAAATATCAGATGATATAATATTTTTCTAGTTTTTGTTTAATTTCAAAATGCTGTTTATTTTTGTTTTTCACAGGTACAAATGCAAGTTGAAAAATCAAATTGACTTCATGTTAAGCATCTGACAATCAATTTTGTCAAAGCTCAGATTATATCACTTGCCTAATTTTACTGTTAGACTTTTAGTTATACATATGCTTATCAAATTTTTAATAAGATCTAAACATAGGTACCTCCACGAAATCGCTAAAAAAGAGCATAGCTTGATGAAAAAGACGCCAACCTTGCCGAAAACAAAATTTTATTGTCTAAATGCTTATGTTATTATTAAGAGGAAAGACCAAAGTTTTTTTTAATTATTTTAAAAAAATTTTCCTTCTTTTTAGAACATTCTAAATTTTGATTAAAAAAACCTTGTTTCTATTTGTATCAGCGGAACTAGTAAATAACATAGACAATTTTAGCACGTTTTTTGGTATGACACACATTAATTTGAAAAATCGTGCAAAAATAGAAATAATTATCGGATGTTAATGAAACTTTCAGGAACTATTCACAGATGATCGAAATTATTATAAATATGTTTTTTTTATGAAAGTCATGGTAGAAATATTTTTAAAAATATTTATTTCCCCCATAACTAATTTTATGAAAACACTAGAAATTCGATCGCATAGGTTTTAGTGATTACAATAATTAAAAGCACAGGGCTTTGAGGAATGCAAATCATGTTTTTTTTGTTTTTAATTGGATCGCAGTACCTGAAAATCAGCTGTGAATTGTAACATACAAAACTCAATAAAACAAATATATTATTTAATTTCAAATGCTTTTATTTGCTTTTAGTTGTTTTTATGAATATGGACAATATTTTCTGAAAGCAAAAAAATTTTTTCGATGAAAAATGAATTTTTAATACAATTATTTGTTATTTCATTAATTATAATAGATTTTACATTTAAGTTGTTAAAATATTATAAAATTAGTTAAAAGCCACATCGGCTTTCATAAGTGTCCTTATGAGATAGATCTTTTTTTAGCGCGTTGTAAATTGTATCATTTTGACGGATCAGAAGATCCCCAGTAATTAAGAAATGTAATTTTGTGCTTATAATCGAGCTGTAATTATAAAATACGGAAGACCAACCAGAATATAATTAAGTTGCGTTATTTGAGTTAAGCATTGTTCTCCGCTGTTAAGGCCTTTACTTTTGCGAAACACGTGTGGAGAAGTTAATTTGATTTTTCAATTTCAACTGAGAAGGGTACCTACAAGTATCAGTATCATCTTATGAAATTTATATGATCTTATTTTTATATTAATCTCAGTTACGACATTTTTCCATAAATGAAATATCAAAATTAATAATAAAATGAATGCAAATACAAATAACAGTAGAATGTAATAAATGTACATAAAATTATAGTATTTTATGTACAATTCTGATAAAATTTCATAAGAAAGGTACCTATAAATTAATTAGATACCTTTCTTAAGAAATATGAAATTTAATGTCACTCTTAACAGTTTTATTTTAATTTCTTTAGAATATATTTCCCATAAAGCATCATAAACGTAAAGGTGAAAGCTAAGTACAAAAAAAAAAAAAAAAATTAGACCGCTGAAAGTTTTCATTAAAAATAACGGGATAAATAATTTGTTCACATAAATGTAAATTATTTCACTTTTCTCCTTCCGTAGAACAAATTAGCCTCATGGAATTCGTAAATATATCATTCATCACATGTCAAGAGACGCGAAAGTTTATGACTTGCTTTGTTTTATTTTCAAATTACATCTTTTTGGCACAAAAGCTAAGTTAAGTTTGGTTCAAAATATTTTAAATAAACATTATAATTTCTGATTTTCTTAAAATAAGTTTTGAAAAAATGATAATTGATATTTTAAAAAATTTCAAAGTCAGATTGCATTTTTTTTTAAAATGGAAAAAAAAATGGTCAATTTTGCTTACTCAAAAAAAAACTAGATTTTTAACGAAAATTTCGGACGTGCTAGGAACGATTAAAATGGAAAAAAAAATACCCCCAAAAATACTTTGACCTTTCCTCTTAATAATAACAAACATTTAGACGATAAAATTTTGTTTTCGTCAAGTTTGGCGTCTTTTTCATCATGCTATGCTCTTTTTTTAGCGATCTTGTGGAGGTACCTATAAACATAACATTACACACACACACACACACACGTGTGTGTGGATTTCTACTCTATCTGTTCTTGCCATTCCAAAGCAGCAAATTCAGATAATACCAACAAGTGTAATTGTGGAAATTCTAACAAGTATCCATTACAAAACAGATGTCACGCAGACTCTTTTGTTTACCTAAGCACTATTTCTACTATAGAAAATCCAACAATAATTGTACAATAGTACCAAGAATTCCTTTAAAACCAGGTGGTACCAAACATATATTATCTTTCACCAATAATGTGTACAGAAATAGGACATCCCTTTCTAAAAAAAGTTAATAAAGCCTCTATGGTAAAATGGAAAATATAAAAAAAAAACTTGAACTTGTAAATCTTTAAATGAACCATGTTCTTTTATGTTTCCATGAAAAATTACAAATAATCAAATCTCTTAAACCAAAGGAGTGAATTAACTACTAAAAGTTTCTCTTTTACCTTAAAATCTAGTTAAATTTTTTTAAAAAAATTACATATTACCATTTCTTATAGCCATACTTTATTAGTATATAATGGTCCACCCTCTACAGGTAATTACCTTATTTTGTTTATTCAGCTTAAATATTATGTACTGCTGTCCAGTTTAAATATTACTATGAATTACTGTCCAAATTATAATTATCGTATATAGATGTTCCACATTTTTAATTTTATCCACAGGCCCCTTTAAGAAACTTCCTGAATATATAAAAAAAAAATTTTTTTTTTAAATTTTTTCCGTTAGCTTTACATCAGATTAACCCACCCTTCCTTTCAACAAATAGAACATGTCATATTTGTCTACAATTCTGATACATTTGATTTGTCACTGCCATATTCTCCGCAATTGTCAGTGATGCCATGTCTATGTACTAGTCCATCATGACATGGAAAAATAACTCCACCACTTCTACCCTCTGAGCTTACTTTTCTATTTAGTATAGATCTGACATTTAGTTGCTTATTCAAGACATACCCACAATTCTGACCTTTGCCCCCTCCACTTTAACTTTTGGAAAAGAGGAAACAATTTTTTAAATTTCCTTAAAAATCATTTAATCACCAGTTACTTAATATTGCCTAAAGGAGTACAATCATAGTATTGAAACATAAAAGCTTTTGTGTAGTGATTTCAAAACGTTTTTATTATAATCTCTTATAATAAAAATATATATGAGAGAGAGAGAGAGTGACTAATTTTCCATTTTAAAAATTTCCTTAATTTTATTTCAGGTTTTAGGGAATTTTGTTTTTTCTGTTTTCATTGTAGGATTCCTTTCTTTTTTTTTTTTTTCTTGTTGACTTCTCAGAATTCAGAGTAGTTATCCTAGACAGCTTAGTATCAATGACTAGAGAGTCCAGCTTATCCTATTATTTAACCCATTGATAGGTGAAAGAAAATCTAGTCATGTCTCTCTGAAGGGCATTAATGCAAAATGAACAGAATAGACCTGGTCAGAATTTAAACTCTGCTCACTAATTCCACTTCCTATGATTCTAATCATTACACTACTCAGACATAACTGACAGTGATTTCTCATTTTATGTTTTATGTTTTACAAATAATAAATGATTGAACAATATTTTATTCATCACTCCTTTCTGCTTCCCTCTCCATTTTTTTCTATCAGTGATATCTTACAGATGCACAAACAATGAGCATATATACTATGTTTTTAGAACTTTCGTTTTTTTTTTTTTACATTTATTTACAAGTTTCTCTCAATTTTTTTTATTTTTTTCCTTAAGATTTCCCTTCCACGTTCAAGGGTTCCTGTGTGTGTAGATTATCAGATGTATCCACAACCTTTGCCCAAATATGAAGGGTGGCCTGGAGGCAGTTTTGTACCTGAAGAATCACAAGAGGAGGTTGAAGAATTTCAAGAGAAAGAAACAAAACCTGAGAATTCACAAGGTAGTTTGTCTTATTTCTTTTCATATTTCTTTAAACTAAAAACACTTTCATTCATTCAAATAATTACATATATATTAACAAAGTAAATAATAAAAACATGTATACACTATGAACAGACTCCCATATAAAATTTAGCTAGGTAATGGATAAAGGTAATGTAGTGATATTGAAATGAGACTTGCCTAATTTACATATAAGCAAATGGTCTTGTATTTATAACCCTTACTTCTACTGTAGAAGGCAGTCATATGAGACCTTGAATCCCACCCTGTAGAAAAAAAACAATGGTGATGGGGGTTGGTGTCAGAAAGTGCAGTACTTGCCGGAAAACCAGCTGCTTTTTTTTTTTTTTTTTCTTCTTCTTCTTTGGTCGCCTCAAGGAAATGGAATGCGTAACTCTCTTTCTCAGCCGTTACAATGGGCAGTTGTGAAACAGACACCAAACTCAAATCTTTGAAATTTTCAACTTCTTTTTTTGTCTGTCAATTCATATGTCCAGCTCTATTCCCCAGTCTGCGGAATGACTCCCCATCCAGTCGTGCTGCTGGCACCCTGTTTTTCATGCTGTTCTAACACGGCTGAAATTTGCATGTGTGCAAATATCATCTCGTTTTGGACGAGATCAGCGCGCATAAATTGCGTCTTCAATAGCGGACATATTTCTTTTTGTCACCACTTGGCAGGCAAGACACGTTCGCACTTGTTTCAAATTCTGAGGTAAGTCGTGTCTTTCATCACACACCCAACAGTATATCTCTGTTTATAAAGATACGTATGTATAGTGATATTGAAATGAGACTTGCCTAATTTAAATATAAGCAAATAGTCTTGTTTATATAACCCTTACTACTACTGTAGAAGGTAGTCGTATATGAGACCTTGAATCCCACCCAACAGTATATCTCTGTTTATAAAAATAAATATGTGTAGTGATATTGAAATGGGACTTGCCTAATTTATATATAAGCAAATAGTCTTGTGTGCATAACTCTTGCTACTAGTGTACGAGATAGTCATATATAAGACCTTGAATCATTCACTTCACAACAGTGAATGAATTTAAAAAAGAAAACAAAAAACTATCATTTAAATATTAGTGCTTCAAAATCGAATTTGATTTAACCAGTCAGTTTTTCTACTTACTGTTTATACTGTGCATTGAAAATCAAAAAGTGAGTGTCAATGATCAGGAATAATTATCATTTTTTTCCTGATTTTCATTCATATCTGAAGTAAAAATTAGCCATTACTTTACATTATAGAAATAGCGGCCTTATTCTATTAGTATTGATTATGTTAATTCTAAACTATTGACAACTTCTGATTTTCAATGTATTTGTATTCTACATATACTATGTAAATGTATTGCTAGAATCAGTGTTCAGCAATCTGTACAACTGCTACTGATAATATTTACACACTTATTAGTATGAATCTTTTTTTCTCATTCCATTCACTAGAAAATGTAAATGTAAAATTACATTATCTTTTATTCAATACAAAAGACTAGTAAGGTTAAAAAAAAACAACTCCTAATATTCACATAACTTAATAGATATCAAATAGAAATCTTGATGTAAGTCAATATATTCTTGTGGTTATTGCGTTGACTATCATGAGGTGAATTGTTACTTGGAAAGATTCTTTTTTAGGGAAATATAAATAATAAACTGAAAAAATATATACAAATTTAAAAAAATGTTGGGAAAGATTTCACTCAACTCTTCAAGTTTTTGTTCTGCTCTGCTGTAGCCAGGTATTGAAGTCAACTCTTCACAAAAACTTGGAGACTTGTGTTAAAAGGGAGATAACTGATGGCAACAAGATGAGGACATTAGTTCGAACAAAGTAAACAATTACAATACCTCATCTCAGAAATATAGACATAAAATCTATTATTAATTATAAAAATGTAAACTTGTATTAATTATAGGTTTATAAAAATATGATTTCAATTATAAATTTCTACCTAATAACCCATTAATGCCCACTGTCCCAAAAAATGGAACAGTAGACATTAATGAAGTCTATCTCTCTATTTAAGATCTACAATAGATGTTATTTGTATTGTGATAGACTGCATACTATAATAAAATCATTGTGGTAAACTCTAGCACCTATTAATGGGTTAATTTATGCTAAAAATTAATTCCCAACAATCATGGGAGATAATAAGTTCTTTGTTATTATTGCTTCTTTATCTGTACAAGAAAATTTCAAAGATTTATTTAGAAATCAACCCAAAGAAAAACAAATGTATTTTCATTTAAAAAAAAGTTCCTGAACCAAAATGCCATCTTATTTGCGATAATCAGGAAATTGGTCAAATGGATAGCTTCAATTATCTAAGCACCTTAGTAAAAGCAGATAGTAGCTGAGAGTAAGAAATCCACCACTGAATTTGGTTAGCGAAAGATGGATTCAATTAGCTTCAGAACGTTTTCACTGACAGGTCTTTCATTAAATCTGAAACATCAACTCTTAAAAACATATATGTGGTCAATTTAACTGTATTGCTCAGAGGCATGAACCCTAAACACCAAAACCAAATAGACACTTCAAACTGCAGAAATATGGTTCTACTAGTGAATGTTAAAAATTCTTTGGACTGTGTGTGAAATGAATAACTCACTTCTGACTATCTTCAGACCACTCATGGATGTATCACCCATGGCACTTCAGATAAGGATGTCTGTACAAAAACACTATTTTTTTTTTCTGATGTAATCTTTAATGTTAAATGTAGATCCATTGTAATTCATACAAAAAAATTGTATGTAGATCCAGTTTATGTTGCAAGTGACAGTAATTTTAAAAGAAATAAAAACAATAATAATCATCATTTCCTGTTATGTTCAGAAAACTCAACAACACAAATACTTTCTACTGATTCAAATGATCATGTATATGCACAAGAGGGTGAAAACCACTGTTCCTTCAATATGTCAGAAGCATCTCGGGTGAAGATGAAAGAAATGACAGACGTAAGTAATACAATATTTATTTACTAATATGTTTATAAGTATCTCAAGTCTTGGAATTGGCAAAGTTTTCAAACAAACATTCAGCTTCATTTCCTTATGCACTACAAGTCATCAATAAGATCATTTGGCAGAAAAATTTCAAAATTATTTTCTTATTTAATACTAGTTTACCCATGCCATCAAAAATGGTGATGTATATAAAACTATTCATTTATTGTTGAATTTCATTGTATAGTGTTTTACTTAGTGTATATTATTTCCTTTTGATTAATTTCTGCATTTATTATTTATTTTACAATGGGTATGTCTGATGGTCACTCCTTGTCATGGTGGAGGGGCTTATGTGGTCCAATGACGCTGAGAGCTATGCTGTTTGCAGTTCTAAAGTCCTGGTAGGGCTATCCTTGCAGCAAGATTGAAGACAAGGATTCAGACTAAGTGAGACCAACCACAATGACCCCAATGGTGGAACAAGCAGATAATGAGTACACAGATCTCAACAGTTGAGCCAACAGATGAAGAGAGAGTTACACATGACAGACATACTACAGAAGATACCACTCAAAATTATGACATTTAGTGGCAGTCTGTTGCAGTTTTACAACTGAATTCTGCATGCCTCATTCCATATGTGCCACAGAGGAAGGTCATGTAACTGAGTGTGTGCGCCACTTCCTTGCAAGCTGAGGTCCCTCTTAAACAAATTCATGCCATCGGCACTTTCTTCTTACCCTGATTGTCTTTCACATCCAACCAACTCTTGCAAACCTAAATAGTGATAGGGAATGAATGACAGGAGCAGGTTTTGATGAAAATGGAAGCTTCTAGTCCTGAACCTGCGTGTTGGCAGTGAAGTTACCTACTCATTGCCATCATCAAAAAGGAAGGGATCAACAAAGAAGAAATTAAATTCTTGGATATGAGATAAAGCCACTGCTGCTGACGGTTTTACAATGTTTCGACAGTGCATCCACTGGTCTTTCTTCTGGAATATAACAGGGACCCAGGGAAGGCCAAGGGTACACAGCTGAAAAGCAAAAAAATAAAAACAAGTAAACTTAACTGTTTCATTTCTTGGCTTCATTAGCATTTCTGGACAGTCTATAATTGTCATAACATGGGCACAGCCACTATTACAACGATAAAAAGCTGAAATGGTCATCTAATTATTTTTGGTAGTTTAGATATTCAATCTGCCATAATTTATTAAGAATTATTAAATTGTTCTTAAGTTATTCTGTACACATACAAAATTAATTTTAGTTAATCATTACAATTCGCAATTATATTGTTTAATTTAAAAAATTGCTGAATATATAAAACTATTTGGAATTTTATTTCTGTGTATATATTTTTTTCTTTTACATTTTTTAAATGGACTTTCCAGGTTTGGCAATGTCTTGGATTTCAACCAACACCTCAAGAACTGGCACAAATTAGAGCATGTGTAACTGTTGATGAAAATGGAATGGTCTCTTATGATGGTAAGTTTTCCACCAAAAAATAATAAAACTAATACTTTCGTTATAAGTAAACTTAATAAAATTAATCCAGATTTTATTAAATTCTTCTATTCTCTCATGATAACTGTTATGTTTTGTGTATAAAAAATATGTATGCAAATTTAACAACTATTATGGAGTCAAATGTTATATATACATTATTAGAAATTAGCTTTTCATGAAAAATTTATTCATTTCCTAGGTTTTAAAATATTTTGTTAAATATAATGGCCTAACACTTTTACAGAATTTTCTGAATAGAAATATTTGAGTCTTTTTAATATTACGGTTAAAAATGTTTTCATTTTTTTTTTTTTTTTTTTTTTTTTTTTCACAAAGATAAATTTTTGTTTTAGTACTTTTACATTTTATTATAGTAAATCCAATTTTATTATCAAGATTTTAAAAATATTTTTATAACAGCATTTTTAAACTTATTTTGGAAACTTTGTCTCTTTGACAGAGGTGATAAGAGTGGCCCATGAAGTTTGTCAAGTTTATCCAAATGAAACTGAAGAAATTATAACACAAACAGTAGACAGAGAAATAGAGATGAGTCCACAGCAGAAACATGAAGTAAGACACTCAACTTTTCATATTTAAAGTTTTTTTTTTTTCTTTTAAAAGAAAAATAATATTTTAGTATGAATATTATTTCATTGCTTTGTTGTTATTTAATCTCTGGTAAAGCTTCTTTTCTGTTTATTACTTGAATTTATATGATCAATACTATTTATTAGTAGATTCAACAATAATTACAATCCTTTTGTGATTTTTATCAGCAAGTATCATTGCTTTATTATCAGTTACAATTTTAATATATATTTATTTTAACAACAGCTTTTTATGTGTTCTTTAAAGCTATATTAATATGAAAAAATACTTTTCTCACAAATCTCTATAAGGTATTATATTTTTTGTAAAATTTAATTGCCTAAACAATGTTTTTCTTTTATTTTTGTCAATTTTTGTATATATAGTAGGACTTTGTTGTCCACTATTGATAGTTTCCCTGCAAATTGTACCCACTACTGTTATTAGCAAAGTGCATTTATTATGCACACCCAGAATATTTGATTATACACCATAAGTACATTTGATGATTGGGAATTAAACTCTTTCCACTAAGAAATATATTTAGCATAAAAATTAAATGAATTAAAAGCATTTCAATTGTCAATAAAATATATTTTTTATAACAAGTTTTTCACCACAGAATCTTATAATTTAGGTTTTGATACCTTTGAAAACATTTAAATTAATTTTTGATATTTTCATTTTTATTAACTTTTTTCTTATATTCTACCTTTTATATCGTGAAAAAATTGACTGATAAAAATTTTGAACACAAGTATTTTGTAGATTGTGTCAATTGTATTGACTTTTTCTGATTAACTCTTAATCAATTGAGTAATTGTCAAAGAAAAATTTCCTTTTAAAACAAATAAACATTCTATTTTTCAGATGAGTGTTTTGCCAGATTCTACAACATTAACTGTTGATGAAGCTTCTCAACTACGCATGGAAAGGGATGTTCTCCAAATTGAAGTTGAGAAACTAAGAGTAAGTTATTTAAATCACAAGTAAAACAAAATTATCAACATTACAGATTTGTATAACTTATATAATGACTTTTTGGATACTTAATGAAATAAATTATCTAATACTATAAAAGACCTGTGAAAATTTCACGGTTTTCCTATTTTAATTTTCTGATGAATCTTAATTCTTCAGTTAATGATTAAATAAGTTCACAGTGAGTTCTACAATAAAATATCCATAGAAATTCCCCTATCACATTGTTAAATATTTGAGCTTAACAACTTTAACAAAATATTGCAATAACAATCATAAATATAAATGCTGGTCATTTATTTTAAGAAGTTAGTACAAATGAAAATATTTGAAATTGGCAACTTTTTCCATTTCCCTGAAACAAACATTAAACACTTCTATCTTCCATTCTTTCTTTCATTTTCTCATTGAAACCAAGTAGTGTATGTTTTTTGTTTTTTCTATACAATCAAAACTGAATAGTTTATTATTTATGAAGTATTGGCAGGAGATATTAAACACTTCTATCTTCCATTTCTTTCTTTCTAACCAAATCCCCATCTTACAAACATTTCTCTTAATAATAATTTTAAAATAATTCAACAGACAATGTTACTTTATCTATGGGAACTGGATTTTTGGCAATTACTTTACTCAGTTTGTCATGCAATACTGTGTGTTTGAAAAATGGCGTTCTTATTATGGTTGGCAATACTTCTCAGCCTTTTGATTGAGATCAAAGTATAGTATCTGTTCTTATCAGCTTAATCTGAATCTCTCTCTCTCTCTTCCCTTCTTTCTTTCATTTTCTCACTGAAACCAAGTAGTATCTTTTTCCCTCTTTACACACAATCAAAATGGAATAGTCCATTATTTATAAAGTATTGGCAGGGCATAACGGTCGTGCAAACTAATGAAGGCAGGGACAAGCATAATTGTAATAGGATACTTAATTTTTAATAGATTAAAATTTAGAAAAAAAAATCTTTCTTTATTATTATTTATAATTTATGCTTAAATCAGGCAAAATTCATTGTTATTTTTAGAGTTGCTTTCTCTGCTTATAAAAAAGTTTTTATTTGCTATAATTTGTCTATGAATACATTTTATTTGTATAATAGACAAAATGTATAAGAAAATAGCAACTGGAAACTTACTAAGTATATGTGAATTAATCTGCTTTTAGATTATACATGAATTATAACTACCATATTTATTAAGATGCATGGGTGTATAATTTCAACAGGGCAAATCAAAAAAAATTAGTAATTAGTAAAATTATTGTAAATGGCACATTTTAAATTTAGGCTATATAGGTACTATTTTGGTTAAACAAGCCAAAGTTAAACGAAAAATAATAGAAAAAAAAGGATACAAACCTATAAAATTTTATTATATCCAAAGGCAAGAAAACAAAATAAAAAAAGCAATTATTACAATTGAGCAAAAACAGTACAGTTACGTAGAATTAATCTGTCCTGTTTCTCCAGGGGTTCTGGCGAAAAAGTAAACCACCGGTCCTCCCCTGGTGAACTGAAGGAACCACCACATTTCTCCGCCACATTGTGAATTTTGATCATAAAAGATCCCTCAGAATGATAGGATGAATTAAATGGCTGGGCTCATGAAATTGCTATTTGGGCAGAAACCCACAAGGGCATAAAGAAATTTTCAACACTTTCAGTTCCTGTACAAAGAAGAAAAATATCACTACCAACGAAATTGCACAAATACATACTGTCTTAATAGATTCACTTGTTTGGGTCTGAACGTTATTTAGAAATTGGCTATTAAGGGAGATAAGTCGTCTTTCTTCATCTGCCCCCTCCGATAGAGCAGTCAGCTTTTTCATTTTTTTTGACAAAGTTATCAGGAAGGGTTCGATTTCTATCTCTATATTTGATTCAGTTTTTGACGCATGCAACCAACTAGCCAGATCACATTTAAGCCATTTCTGCCGCGTTTTCATTTTTTTCTGATCTGCAATCTCTCAAATAATGGTCCCTGATCTGAGGATCTCTTCTCTCTATAGATGTGTTTAAACGATCCAATATCGATCTGAAAAAAAAGGCGGAGCTACACAGTTTTAAGGCACCTAAAGTTTATAAAATTTTTTTACCATGCATTTTTTAAATCTCCAAAAGTTTTGAAATAAAAGGTACTAAAATCGGATTCAAACTCCTGCTGGGTTTTCTTTCTTGAACAACAAAATTAAGTCCGCAAAAATTATTATTTTATCTAGGACTCTGACTGGATTCCCAATTTTATAAAAAATCCAATTCAAAATTTATCACAAGCTTTACCTAATGAACCTGTCCATTAATTACTCTGGAATTAATTGGTTTTTAATTAATAATTCAATCCTAGAAAAACAAAAGTAAAAAAAAACTTATTTCTGGAATTAAAAAAATCCCTTCTACCAACTAATTAGTATCTTCTTCCCAATCCTTTAGAACCATTGATTAATAAACCCATCTGGTTAAACTCTCTCTATTAACAGTTACCATTAAAATTTTGTTCATCTTCAAATCCATAAAATTCATCATCTTTGTTATCAAAACTCTGATACTCATCTTCAATGCTACTATCATCGTCGTTAAATTTTATCATCAATTTCCATTGAGAGCATTAATGATACATGTTTTAAAAGATTTTGCAACAATTTCTGATTTAATATTATTTCTAGCAGACTTCACCCATTTGCAGACTTTTACAATGCTGGGTCTTTTTATTCTTCCTGTAAGTGTAAGGTCGTGATCAGGCATTGCCATCCACATGTTCCATTGCTCCTTCATGTTTTTTGCTTGAATGGTCTATTCAAAGACACATCCAGAGGTTACAACTGATTCATTCGTCCATCAAGAATAACTGCTACCTCTGTTTTTCAATTCTGTCACTTTTTTTTTTAATGGATTCAGTCCTTTGCACTCTGAACTGATCCCAAACCAGAAGAGAGGACTTTCATAATAGTCCACCAGGACGTCTTTCCCATACAACTCATAGCCATAACTGTAGACCAGCTTCGTCCATCCAGCCTTTTGGATGAATATGCACACCTTTTGGTATTTTATCTTTCAGTGTAGTTTTTCTCTTAAAAATCAGAAAAGGAGGTAACATCATGGTTTGTGGTTTTTATTGTAATAGTCTGGGATCTCTTAATACTCACAGTTTTATTTGATGGAACATCAAACTTTAGTGGGACTTTATCCATATTTCCTATTTGGCCTAGTTCAAAAGGAGTTCTTTTCAAGCATGTATAACAAATTTATGAAACTTTACTATTTTCTCATCATAGTCAACTAGCATTCTCTGCAATTGATGTTTTTTATGCGCATTGACAAACCGTTCTGTTTCTTAAAACGACAACACCATCCTTCTGTTCTTATAAAGTTTTGAATCCCCTTTTTGTTTGCTAATCTTCTAGCTGCATTCCTTATCATTTTCATAGTAACGATTCTGCCTGTATTCTTCTCATCTACAACCTATGTTTTAATTTCCTCTTCAATTTCAGGCCAGTGTGGGGCTGGGTGGTGAAGGTTACAGTTTCCTTTCTTCATTGCCCATAGGTTATTTTCCTGCAACCGCCAGTAACGTATCATTTTTTTCTGTAGGTGGAAGGCCAAAATATTTTGCAACTGCTCTATTTCTATGCACTTTAGCATAGTTTATTACATGAAGCTTGTATGCAACAGTGTAGCTTAACCTCTTTCTTGCTGTTGTCATATCTGAATGAGTGAAATTCAGTCAAAATTTTTCCCTTATATGATCTATACAACCTGCGTCTTGTAAACGTCTTGGTGGAATGATTAGAATATAAAAATTCTGATAGTATTTATACCAATGCAACCGGAAGTTATCACAAGAAAAATATTAATGTAACAAATATATTTTACAAATATGTAATTTGAATTTATTGCATATAATTTTAGTGAAACAAAGTACTAATATTAAATGTGATGAAATTAATATAATGAATATTATCAATGATAACACTTTTAACCTGCATAATAGCCTTTTAAATAATGACAATAGATATATGAAAGTTACTCTAAAGTCTAAGCTAATAGGAGTTGCCAGGTAGCTAATTTCGGCAGACTATCACAAATTTTAAACCTACATATGGCATATAAGTTGCAGGGGAATTTTAAAAGATATTTTTGTAAAAAAAGTGCATCTTATATGCCGTCAAATACGGTAATTACTGTACAAACATGTTTTCACTTAAGTGATATCTAAAAGAATGAATAATTAATTATTTTCTCTAATATGCATAGAATGTGGAGGCAATTAAGGCATGTATTGAAATACTTTTTTTATAATTTGAAAAATATATTTATCTATATCATCCTGTTTAGAGGTTCTAATTTCCCTGGGTGCCTATTTTCATATACATAGCTCTCTCACTCTCATATGGGTGTATATACAAAGGCATATGAAAAGTTCTCAGCTCAACACACTTCCAAAAATGTGATCATTTTCTTTTGTTACTAATTAAAATTAGTCATTTTATTTTATTTTTTCTAAATATTTCTCTTACATTTTAGTCGGTTAATGTCAGGTTATTTTTTTTCATAAGATTTTATTCATTCTGGTAAATATCATCATCATCATCATTTATTTATTTATTCTTACAAGTGTATGCATATATGATTATATTATAGTTAATTTTCTATTCTCTTTGGTATTAAAGTAATAATATGGAATCTAAAAGAGACCAATACACATTTTGTCATATTTCACATTGTATAACAAACTGAAGACACACTTTCTCTGATTTTATTGTGCATTGCCAAAATCACTAGAGTTAAAAGGTTTAAGATGGTGTTTTTCTAACAAGAGAATAATTTCTTTTTTATTAAGCAAAATTTTATTCTCTTTTATTAGGCAAAAATCCGGGAGAAAGAAGACAGTTGCAATACAGCTGAAGAAGAATTACTGAGAATCCGAAGGGTAAAATTTATTTATTTGAATGTTTTATTAATCTTTTTGGAGTTTGTAGAAAATAAATATGTAAATAATACATTGATAAATTTCAGTAATTTGTGTGCTATGCGTGTTACCTGCGTAGGCAATCATGTATCTTTTGATACATGACTGACAAGGCAGATTTTTTTCCCACAGTAGGTTGCCATTTCTTTCTGTGGTAGATCAGTTGCCTGTCAAGCTATTTATTTACCCATAGCTGGGGGGAGAAGAAGAGGATTCATCCCCTTTCCCAAGAGTATTTAGCACATAAGCGAATGTAATGGATTTGACTGGAATTCAAACTTGGCTCCAATACTTCTAAAATCAAACTAGCAATTTTTCATCACCACCGAGCGGATCCTAAGTTTTCTCCAGTCATGATGAACAGTTGTACACTCAAGAAGACTTTTTGCTTTGAGTGTCTATTGGGACTCAAGTTCACCCCAGACCTCAAGTGGAACCCATCTATACAATCCACCACTCCAGAAAGTACCTGTCTCCTTTTGCCATGCTCTATGATTACAAGAGTCAGACCAGACCAAAAATGGAGTGTTGCTGTTAAATCTGTGCTGGAACTGATCAATCCTTTCTTTCTGGTCTTGAAATTCAAAAGTGCCAATGCCGTCTTGTGGGTGACAAATTATTTTCCACCCTATGACAACTTTCTCACAGATGAAACATTACAAACCCTCTTGCTACTCTATTGCTATTTCCATGAAAAAAGTTACATTTCTTAATTACACCAGTTCAGACCCTCACAGCTAAAGCCCATCATACCATGTACACTTGGACAAATCATCCTCATTTGCCTCTTATTTCATTAGTGAGAAGAAAGTTCCATTTGGACAACAACTTCCTAAGAACTGCTACTTTGCAGAACAGACACCTAAGAGAATGCTTCCTCAATCACTATAATCTTAACCACTTCTAGTTTAGGTTTAACTATTATCTATGCAACATATCCTCATAGTTTAGACTTCTTACTGTTCCCTGTTATGTTCATTCAACAATCGCATTCATCTACACTGAATGGTTCTTGGGCCTTGTATGAACAATTAGTAAAATGAAAAATAAAAAAAATGAATTTAAGAACTCAGAAAGAAAAATCATATTTTCATTTGTGCTTTTACTTTACATGTCATACTTTGATGGTTGTAACAGAAAGACATTGTTTTGTTCATACTGTATAATAATAATAATAATAATATCACTGAATATATTTCTTAGTAGAAATGAATGTGATTTTTTTTTCTTTTTTTACACAATTCAAAATGTTTAATTATATTTTTTTATCTATTTTTTTTTCCTCAGGAAGCACAAGGTGCTATTCATGAAAGTCGGTCATTGAGAAGCAAAGTACATTTGGCAGAGGAGGCACAAAAGGCTGCACGAAATCTGGAACAAGGTTATGGAGAAGCAATACGAATCCTGGAGAAAGAAATCGTGCAGCTGAAGGCGCAACTGAATCGTCAGCCTGTGAGGACATTTTTCATTTTTACTTTTACTATTTCACTCTACTCTTTTTCCAGCTTTTCTCTTGTTCCCATTTACTCCTACTTTTGTCACTTTCTTGTTGGTTTCTCTCTTGCTCCACCCTCTATTTTCTTGCTGTCACCCTTACTCCACACTCTTTTGCCTCTCTGTCTCCCTTCTTCTACCCTCTTTTTTGTCTCTCTTTCTCCTCTCCCTCAATGCCACTTCTGTCTCTCAATCCTCTCTCTTTGCTGCCTTACTTCTACCACAAACCCATTTCTCCTTGCTACCTCTCCCTCGACCCACATCTCCTCTCGCTGCCTCTCCCTCGACCCACATCTCCTCTCGCTGCCTCTCCCTCGACCCACATCTCCTCTCGCTGCCTCTCCCTCGACCCACATCTCCTCTCGCTGCCTCTCCCTCGACCCACATCTCCTCTCGCTGCCTCTCCCTCGACCCACATCTCCTCTCCTTGCCTCTCCCTCGACCCACATCTCCTCTCCTTGCCTCTCCCTCGACCCACATCTCCTTCTGCTACTTATCCCTTGACCCCACCTTCCAGCTCTCCTCACTGCCTCTCTCTTGACCCATGATGTCCTCACTGCCTTTTCCCTGACACCCCTCTCCCCAGCTATCCTCACCCTTGAATCTCTCCCCCAGCTATCTGCTCACTCTCCTCTCCTTTACTTCTCCCTCAATCCTCTCTTACTCACACCTTTCACTTCTTTCCTCTCACACCTTTCACTTCTTTCCTCTCACACCTTTCACTTCTTTCCTCTCACACCTTTCACTTCTTTTTTCTCTCACTCTCTCCCTCTTTTTTTCTCTCACAAAACAAATATCATGTGGAATTATGAATTTCCTCATTGTTTAAGTAATGAAAATAACAATGGGTGTGTTAAAATATGATTGTGAAGCAGATTGTAATGACTTCATATTTTTATGCAAATCTACTTGGCTTCTTTTTATTTACAACTTGGTTCTACCAATTTTCATAAAATTCACAAAGTTCACAAAGAATGGAGAAAACTTTCAATATGGCTTGCTTATTTTATTATACCACACTATGGCGTAGAAATTATCAATAAGAAATTCAGTGAATTTCTAAAAAAGAAAACCTTGTTCTTTGCTTACTTTTAGAAAAATTCGCCAATACAACGACAACTTGCAGTAGCTGCATGCCAGTTGCGGAAGGTGGAATCCAGTAAGAAAACTTATGAAGTGGCTGTAGACAAACTGCTAAAATTTGTTGAGGTATATCTATTAATTTTTACCAATATCTTATTCATTTTATTTACATGCACTTTTTTTACTTATTGAAATTAAGAATTCCTGTCTTACTTGAAAAATCAAACAAATCTCAAATTATTATGAGGTTTGATTCAGTTGATTTTACATCATGTTAAAATCAAGAGTTCTTTAATAGAAGAATCAAGCCACACCATAATTCCAACTCCCTTCATGTCTCATTGTTCCATATAAGCGGTGCTAATCTCTCTCTCCCTTCTAAGCATTTAACCTCAACCCACTCTAAAGGCTGGCATAACTGAATTCTCTCTAGTTAAATTTGGGTTTGATTCTCCTTGGAACTATTCTTGATTTCATCTTATTAATTTGAAGCATGATTTTTCAACACATTTCAGTTTTAATTTTCTTCTCAGTTTTCAATTTGCTTTGAGTTTCAATAATTATTATCCAATTAATAGTTTCTTTCCTCTTCCTTTTTTCTTTCTTTCCTTTTTTATTGTTTGATTAACCCCTGAGGTCCCAGTGTCACACATAATCTTGATCTGGATATACAAGATATTCAAAAAATGGAAAAACACAGTAAAAAAATTAGACCTAGTCATTTAAATTTAGTGAAATTTTAGATGGATTTTTGCTGCTTAAATATACAGAGGAGAAATACTGGACCTGCTTCATACCATCTATCATTGGGTGTGGAAGAAAGTCAAAACTCCACAAGGAGAGAGGTGTTCCTCATGTCTTTGTATATGAAAGGATCTAAAGGCATATGTGATAACTACCATAAGAGATCTTCCTTCTCTTTGTTGTGGGAAAGATCATTACAAGAATACTTCTGAAACTTTACTGCACCATGTTGCAGCTAATATTCTGCCTGAATCACAATGTGGTTTGAGGGTCAAATTGAGGTGCAACAGACACAGTATTTACAAAGTGACACGTTCAAGAAAAATGCAGATAGCAACAAATGGATCTTTACCAGTGTTTTATTGATCTAGCAAAAAACCTTTCACATCATCAATAAGCCAACTATATACGATTTGCTATTTTCTTGTAAGTGTTATCTTGCAAGCATTCTCTGGCAATGAGACTGGCATATATTTCTGGTTTCACACAACACAAAAGCTTTTTAGTATCCACTGTTTTACTATTGTAACTAAGATCTTCATATCTGACATTTATGATCTTGTCACTCACCATATATGTCATGGGTAAAATGTTGGAGATTCTGGATAGCTTTCTCTACCTAGGTAGCCCCCTACCCAGATTCAACACCCTCAATGACAAAGTCAGTTATAGTTATTGTTTCTAAGGCTTATGGAAAGCTTGAGTGAAGGCTTTGGTTACAATCTGACATAAAGTTACCAACAAAAGTAAAGGTTTGCAGGGCTTGTGTCTTGACAATTTTGTTGTATAGATTTGAGACTTGGACGACCTATCACTATCCAGCACCTTGAGTGTTTACACCAACATTACTTATGTTCTCTGCTGAGAATTTCATGGAAATCTAATGTGCCTGATACAAGAGTACTGCAGCTGGCCAATATGATGAGAGTATTGAGTCCTTGATTATGAAACACTGACTTAGATGGTCTGAATACTTAGTCTGCTTAGAGGATATTCACATAGCAAAATACTTACTGTATGGCAAAATGGTTCACGACAAATGCCTCCAATGGAAACCACAAGAACATTATAAAGACTGTCTAAAAGACTTAATTAAAAAAATTCAGTATTGACACTAGCACATAGGAAGATCTTGTATCAGATAGGGTGGAATAGAGGAAATTTATTGAAACTGGTGCTTTAGAATTCAAAAACGATATTAAATTGAAACAAGCTTGTAAATATACAAGAGAATTTAGCTCTTTCTCTAACAATGAAACAAAAGAATCTC